TTTCCCCACTTACCCCAAATGTAGTCCATCAGCCAAGACACAGTGTCTAATCTTTGCTCTTTTGGTTTAGCCCTGGTGCTGTGAGGCTAATGCTAAGAAGTGACAGAAGCTCATACCCCACCAGTTTTTAGTTTAGTTTTGTTCTGTTCTTTCCCAAAACCACCAACTGTTTCGCTTGCCAACACTTAAAATTCAAAGTAATTTTCACTTCTCGTCTGGTTAACTGATTGTGGTTACTTTGCTTTTTGGACTGTTATTTTCTCTTGTTTTGGTTATTGTACCCCTGAGCTCTACTAATTCTTTGGCTTAAAAGAATATCAAATGGCAAAAAAATCAAATGTACCTTTACTTCAAATATAGTAGATCAGACATGTTTGGTGTTTGGAGCTAGTGTTGTACTGGAGCTACAGGGCTAATGTAGCTAACAAGTCATGGAAGCTAGTACCTCTAACTGCACGCCTATAACACCACACATACCTCAAACTGTATGGAAGAGGATCAGTTTCTCAAATTCAGTTTTACCTTTACTCCAATTGCAGTCAAGATTAGCTGAAATGTTTGGTGATGTTTGCTTCCGTAGTTCTGAAGTGGAGCTACAATGCTAATGTAGCTAACAATTAATGAAAGCTTGTCTTTGTTTTGTTTTGTTCTAGTTTTTTAACCAAAACCACCATTCACAAAAACTTCACTCTTATTTTTACCTTTCCACACTAGTTAACTGGCTGACTGAAGGCATTCAGGAATCAAAAGGAACTCTAAAGCTTCACACATGGACTGTGACAGCTTGTCTGAAAAAACATCCTTTCACAACACATACCTCGATATTCTAGCTGTATTTAGCCCTGTTCACCCCATCCTGGGTGATCTGATCAGCACTAAGTACAGCTGTAAACAAGGTACAATGCAATGCATTGAAGACACACTGAGTGTGTTTACAAACACTTAATAATCTGATAACTGCAGTAAATCAGATTTTCTCAGTAATTTGCCTAGTATGTTTACATGCATTTGAATAATCAGATAATGGGGAAAATCCAGGTCTACATGAGTCAGGCAGTAATCAGATTTCTGCTTTACTGCCAGCCAATAAACTCACAGAAGAAGACGTGACGTTAATGTAAAACTCAAACGTCATGTTTTTTTAAACAAGTCTCCTTAGTGGAAGATATTAATTTACATTAATACGTTAATATCAATAGTTAAGTCCTTCATCCAACAGCACTGTTTTCACACATGCATAGACAGAGAGAAATGAAAGAAATCAGAGTAAGAGTTTACATGAACTGAAACACCCCATTACTGAGCTCATATCCAGCCTCTTTATCAGATTTCTGGATCTGAGTTCTAGGCCTTAATCCGATCTAAGAAATCAAAGTGTGCTGTTTACACAACCAACCTGAATAATCAGATAACTGCTGAAATCTGAAGGAAACACAATAACTGTGATCTGATCACTTTGACTACCTTCAGAAGTAGTCAGGGACGTGCATGGCCACAAATCATTTACAGTGTGAATGCTAAAGCGACAATCAGCTCCATCATCACAGCAGACGGAAGAAGCTGCATAGCTTTGTTTTTCGCCTTCTCTACCGTTTGATTACAAGTACTGTTAGTGGTTCACGTGGTCTAAACGTTTGTAACAGCAAACTTGCGGTACATTTCTGTCTGACAACAAACACAGCAAGAGACTGACGTAGTACATGTGGTTGGTACCACGTTCCAGTCACGAAATCCAATCACTGGAGACCAGTGCCAATGCCAGGTGTGAATGGCTACACATCTCGCTGTCCACTTATGATTAGATCACTCAAGATGGATGTGTGTGGGCCTTTGTCTTTAAAATAAAGTGTAACACAAAAAAATGTTCATATTTTTAACAAAAAATCAGCTTACAGTCAAACAACATTGCCAGCGCCAAAACATCTACCCATCAGAAGGTGAATCAGGCACAGTTTAGCCACTGCTAGTCAGCTAAATTAATTTAGCTAGCATTAGCTCTTCAAGTTTCCTTGCTAAGGTCAACTCCCATATTTAAAGGAAATATATTTCTGGATATTTTTAAAATATGTGACAACGTATACATATTTGTTTGGTAACGTATATATATTTGTTTGACGTATAAATATTAAAAATGGGCACTATTACATATATTTCATCTACATATGTGCATATATTCGTATATTTTTATATACTTAAAAATGGCACAGTTGCATATATTTAGCACATATATTCTAAAACATCACATGTATCCCAATTTTTATTTTTCTACATCATTTGAACACAGCATCTTTACATGGTGTGAAAATTTCATGATGAATGGACCAACAGAAATGCTTGGAATTAAACTTTTATACATTAACTGATGTTAAAAGTAAAGAAGGTCTTAGCCTTTTCCTGTAAAGCAGCCATTTTAGAGATACATTGTTTTTCTATACATATATTTTTCTTTTATATGGGATATAATTAATATACTCCTCTTTATTTATCCCATATGTCCTTCTGTATGTCTTGTTTTTTGGAATTCCATTCCTCGGAATCAGAATCAGAATCGGAATTTCTGGAACGGAACAGCTCTAGTGATCTCTAATAGACTTGATTATGTAGTTTCTGACACACTGTTATCTGAAAACATGGATTAAAGTATGGACAAAGTTCATAGTTCTGACTGCTGCTACTGTTTTTAGCTGTGCTCCATGCTAATTGAGGTATTAGCCTCCATTACTTGTTAGCTACATTAGCCTCATAGCTTTCACTGCAAAGTTTGGACACCAAACATGTCTTGGTTGATTGACTACCTTTTGGAGTGAAGGGTATTGTGTAAATTTAATCTTTCACCAAATTAGCATAGTGTGACTCAGCCCACACATGCAAATCCGAGGAAAAGTACACTCTTACTCACTTTCCCAACACGCTTCCGTTCAGCAAAGTCGCAACGCTGAGAAGAATGATCTTTGGTTTTTGGAGATTAATGCTAAACAGCCCTGTAGGTGTTTCTTTCACGAGTTAACGGTGAAGAATGATGGATCAAAACTAGCATTAGACTGAAAGCCATCACCTTCAGTTACAGGGAGCCACATTACTTAAATATGAAAGCCCCGGCAAAACAGACAAGCCAGAGTGGACCTAGGTGCTGTAAGAGGCAGGGGGCTTTACTTCTTTCGTTTTTTTGGAATCAAGCCCAGCCTTACACACCACCTCAATGCTCCTGTCTGCGTCTATCTGGCCGTTATTGAAATGCACTCTTCTCTGGAAATCCAAGCCCCGTTCTCACTTATATCGACTCGCAGGGACCGCAGAGCGTTTGCATACAAGATCTATTTGCACATCCAAAGCTGAAGATAAAAACCCAACAGCGCTCTGAAAACACATCAGCTTGAGTCATGCTAGCCATCCAACTACCACAGCGGGAAGGCATCATGGATCAATATTTTTTAATTAATTATTTTTTTTTGAAATACATTTTAGGTTTTTTTTCACTTTGCCTTGATTTTTGAGTTTCGTAAGCTAAATATAGCACAAAAGGCTTGATGGAGTTTAATGCCAGCCCGTGAGTCCCCTCTCATTAACGCTAACAGTAATGTCACCTCCAACACTCGCCTGGCTTAATTACAGCTAATTGTCTTAGCAGGTAACGTTCGCCAATCAACTGCACAAACAAACACTTGTTAACTGAAAGCATTTAGGCAACACGACCCATACATTTTCTGTGCTCTGGAACTCTTCTGCACTGCATTTATACATATATTCATATATGTAAATGTATATGTATTTATACACAAACACACACAGGCAGTGTTTTGTAAGTTGACTCAGGCGTTGTTGTTGTAGCACTACTGTGGTGTGAATGTGGACATCATGTGGTCGTATTATTGGTAAATGACTGTTGTAAATGTTTAACCGCACATCCTCACATTTGTATGTAAGGATAAGGCTGTTATAATCCCTTAAACTCTAAAGGTCCATTCGTGGGTCCTAACCTGGGGACATAACTTACATACATCATCACTGTCATATTAAAACCTCAGAATTCTATTCTTTAAATTATTATTATTATTATTATTATTAGTATGTTCACATGAGCCGCGCATTATATTGTGTGAGCATTTCACAATGAATGAACAAACAGAAACAGTCCAAAATTAAGTTAAATGAAATCCTGTTACATTAATCGACATTAAAGTTAATTTTTTTCTAATGTTTTTGGAGATACGAGTTTTTCTCAAAACTGATACTATTAGTACTGAATAATTCATAGTAGATGCTGAATAATTCATAGCAATTACTGAATAATTCATAGTAGTTACTGAATAATTCATAGTAGTTACTGAATAATTCATAGTAGATGCGGAATAATTCATAGTAGTTACTGAATTATTCATAGTAGATGCTGAATAATTCATAGTAGTTACTGAATTATTCAAAGTAGATGCTGAATAATTCGTAGTAGTTCATGAATAATGTACAGTAAATGCTAAATAATTCACAGTAGATGTTGAATAATTCATAGTATGTAGAAATAATCCACAGCAAGTACTAAATAATTTATAGTGGTCACTGAATACTTTGTAGTACATCCTGAATAAATAATAGGAGTTTAATAGTAGATCCCAAATAAAAGTCCTAAGAATAATAACTGAATAATTAGTCTGAGGTTTAAAGACGTTATTCAGTCGTATCAGAATGTAAGAGTTGAATATGATGGGATTTTTGTTCATGTCAGTCACTACTGTTCTGAAAAAGGTGAGAATGAAATTTGCAGCTATATACAAATGCAGCCGAAAACATTTGGCTCTTGAGAAAAAAAAGTGTCTGAAACAATGCCTCCATCTAATGTGATAGAAAATCATCACATTTGTCTTGTTTTTAAATATCTGCCAACTGGGAGAGTCATTGTTTAATTCCTCCGCACGCAACACACATGCAACACACTCACAAACACACACACACACACACAGGCACTCCTTTACTTCCTCAATGTGTTAATGTACACATTCACTTACATCAGCAGCTGTACTGCAATTTTTAGCCTTTATTGTTGCTTGAAGAATAAGACTTCAGCTCAAACTCCCTCGACGCCTTTCTGGAAAATTAACAAGTGTATAAATAAATAAATGAATAAATAAATACAATATTAAAAACTATATATAAGCTATAATATAAAAAAAACTATGATTACTACGCTTACAGCATTTTGGATGTTGCTGCTGAAAGATGGTTAAAAAATAAAAAAGAGAGAAAAATAAATGAGAAATAAATAAAATAATATTGTCTGCTGATTGTTTGCTTATTTGTGCGCTTATTTGACTGAATATGGCATTTCACAAAGCCATCTGAACAGAAGGTGAAACATTTGACTGCTCATGTGACAGGCTGCTAAACGATTCGAACCCTGGAGCAGACACTGGTACAATTACCGTCTTATCATGTTGGTACAGATGTCCATGGCAACTGCCAAAATTTTAAGAGGCAAAAAATAAGAAAAAAAAAAGATAATAATATAGCATAAGCGAAAGAGGCTGATCGCCAGTAAGTGGGAAGTCATGAGAATGCTTTAAAAAAAAAAAAGAAAAAAAAAACAGATCAGACTTGGAGATGGTGCGGAATACACCCACAAGAGCCGCGTGCGCTCCCTCACCACTTCACTTCTGACCCCAGCGCGAACTCTCCGCACGACTTCAATAAGAAGAGTGAGGGCCTGGATTTCAAACACAGTTCGGGCTTCGGCTCACCAGCTGCTCTGTTACACTTTCTCCGCTCTCACCACTCGCTTCCTGCTAAAAAAAACACCAGGGCTGAACAATTAGCCACGGACGGTACTGACTGGCGGTGTTACATGAGGTGGATTTTAGCACAGATACACTATAAATGGCCACAAGTGTTCATACAGTCCTTCTAATTCAGCTACACAGCATCTCCATAAACAAGCACTGACCAGTGCAATGGGACGCTCTGGAGCAGCCACACATGAGCCATGCACAATGCCAAGCGTGGGAAAGAGGAGTATAAATGATCGCAATACTAGGGATCATATTTTTGGTATATATTTTTTTCTGTGGTCCACTAATGACATTTGTGTGGTTTTATGTACCAAAAATAGTCATAATTCATTTTTACATCGGTTTTCCATCCCTTAAATTAAACAATCTATGCTTTCAAAATGTGCTCACTCACTCATCCCCTAAGCCACTTATCCTCCTGGGTCGTGGGGGCGCTGGAGCCTTTCCCAGTGCTCAATGGGAAACAACCTGGACAGCTCGCATTCAAAACTAATGTATGTAAATGAGCTCAGTTCGGATTGGCTGCTATGTCCCAGACAGTGAGCATGTATCGGTTCGCTGGCTTGATAAGGGTGGCACCCCGCTGACTGTTTGCCACTGCTGGTCCACCCTTGGACCACCCAGATTATTGTCCTGCACAGGAGGCCTAACTAGTTTTTAATCTCCTCAAACAGATTTTAAATGCACAGAGACTTTTATTTCAGAAAACAGAGTAAGACAAATATTACAAACAATGAGAGAGAAAAAAGTAATGACTAGGCCTGATATAAAATATTGTTGTTAAAACCAAAGAAAGGAAGGAAGGAAAAATCAGTAAATTGGACTCTGAGTGGAAAATGAGCGACGATAAGTGAAATTTTGTCTAATACTCTGCTTAAACACCGGTGGGCCGCCCAGAAAACGCTGAGCAAAACGCCAGTGGACCGCCATCAGTGGGCCAACAGTGGCCTATTATCCTCCTGCTATCATGGGTATTTTGCCTCATTCAGAAAGCAGGGCTGAATCACTCCTTATAACTTCAATGTGAGTGGGCGGGGCTAAACTTAAGGTTAAACAGGTCGATATATGTAAAAGTGCTTATTTTGTGACATCATAAAAAGGTTTAGTCAAAACAGGCAAACTACATGTTTACATACTGTCTAAAAGTGGGCTAGAAGGGTTTAAAGCAGTGGCCCCAACTCAATATTCTCCATGATCAAAGAATCTAAAGCTGGTTAAAAAAACAAAATAATTCATGTGAACCCAGTAAAATGTACTACACTCTCTTAACATGAACACGAGAATAACATTCAGTTATTCTACATAAATGCATTTATTCACACATAAAGCATGGAAGTTTAATATCAATTAAAAGAATTAAAGGGTCCATATTATGCAAAATTTAGTTTACCTAATCTTTTTAAGTAATAGTCTAGAGTTTGATATTGCATGTAAATCTTGTTAAAGTTCCAAAACATACCATTCACCCTCCAGTCCATACAGCCTGAATGTGGAAGCAAAGCTGCAAAAACAGTCAGTTTTGAACTTTTACATTTACATATATATGCTTATTCAGCCTACAGCAGTTTAGCCCCACCCACTCACACTGAAGCTATAAAGAGTGAAGCCTGTACTGCTTTTAGAAAGAGGCACAATATAGGGCAGCCAATCAGAACAGAGCTCATTTATATGATCACAGTAACATATAGGCCCAATCCCATCTCACTCCTCGTCCCCACCACCTAGCCCTTAACCCTCCAGAGGTTTTTCAGAGGCACACTCCAAACTGAGTGGTAAGAAAAATTGGTGAAATGGCTGCGCAAACGGCTAAAGAAACCCACAAATGCAAGTGTTAAAAATTACGATAAACACTGACAACCAACTTCACAACAAGCATAAAAATTTCTAGTAGTTTGCTGATATCTCGGTAGCTAGCTAGCTAAATTTCCTGTTCCACCTTAAATGGTGTCAGAACTGCTGTGCCATTTAAGGTGGAACGGGAAAATTAAAAGGAATCTGCTAAATAACTGACTTCAGCTTCATATTAACAAAGATTTAGGGGTCGGCGATAAGTAATTGTCCCTCTTTGAAGGCATATGATGCCCTAAATGTAACTGAAGCCCAGCAGTGAGGAGCTGAACTTTACCCTCCTCTGCTGTCACTGCAGACTGGTAGGGTCACCTACAGAGCAGCGCTAGTAGCTGTTAATGAAGTAATGTTCTAATGGTCCCATTTCATAGGGAAGATTTCAACCGCCACCACCACCACTGTAACTCAGCTCCAAGGGGCAAGGTGACACTTGAAAACAAGTAAAAATCAGAAACGAGATTGGGCCTTAGGGATTGTCTAAACAAGATGGATATGGACCATTTGTTTGGCCCACCTTATCTTTTCAAATGCTAACACAACGTTACCGAATTGTTAACATCACTTAACATCACACTGAGCGATGGAGTTACGATGTTTTGGACTCCTGGTTACGGATGGCATCACCACTAATTGAACTCACGACCTCCTGATAACAGAGCCAACACTTAGATGTTTGAGCCACTCAGGAGCCAAGTTACAATTGCAGTGTTAATTATCGTGGAGACCTATTCCACTCTTCTTTTGTCAGTTTGGTATACTTTCTTGTCGCTTTGAAAGACATCTGTTACGAGAGGCAGAAAAAACTAATTCAGCTTTTGTGTAGTGTGTTTGAGCCTATAATTCTGTGAAGAAAGGGTCGTTTTCAGGGGTGTTGATTCTATATTCAAATGAAAAGACTCTCGTTGGCTCCGTGTGGTGGCGTTCGTGGGTGGGGTCATCATGGCGCTCCTGCGTATAGTTCCAAAGTGGCTACAGTGGACCACAGCATTGTGAGACTGTACAGCGTCACGTAGCAGAGTGGTGCTGTACTCTCTACTTGTTTAATTTTAATGAAATAAAACTTTCAACATCATTTGCCACGCTTGGAGTCTACGTCTTCTTCACAAACTCGCTGTTTTTGAGCTGAAAGATACAAGGTGAAAAAAAAGGCTAGTAACATTAGCGGAGGTAACAGACCATTAGGATTTGTCTGTTTATCTCAAAGACTGCCTGCTTTTCTCTGTATTTTAAAAGCCACATGTGATCTACTGTGGCTTACTGTGCTCTCGATATGGCTTTAATTTAATGTAGTAATGGTAAAATGCTGAGTAATTGAACAGTGCTCGGAGTCGAGAGTGCAGCCGTGTGTCAGCGCGGAGCGCCAGTGCTGGTGCAGAAATTTTTGGACGCTGTGCAATGCTGTGAGCCAATCTTACATATCATGCTGATTTAGCAAACACACAGGAATTTAGAGTTAACCATCTGATATAGTTATATAGGATATATTATGTATCCTGTGTGCTTATCTTAGGGTGTTTTCAGACCAGAGTTCTTTCGGGAGCCAGGACTGCTTGCTCTGCGAGTTCAGTACGTTTGGTCAGCTGAAACAGCTGTTTTTGAGTCCGGGATCTCTGGTACTCCTGAAATCGGTGGTTGGGGTCCGCTTTCAGCGGTCCCTGACATGGTCATGTGGAAGGAGCTGCGTGTTGGGCTGATTGGTTCATTTTGTAACGTGACTGCTTCAACTTATCATGTCACTTCCATTTTCAAGTTTAATGATAGTGGGAAAAAGGATTGTTGTGGACAGCGGAGGAGGCAGAATGCCTCATGGATACATGGAGCACATAAGGCATTCAAGCGCAAATGGCTACAACTCATAAAAGTGTTCCACTTCAGTGCTTCTATCCAAGGGGAATAAAAAAGCAGGGAACGGATGGAGCCAGTGCTAACCATTTTGCAAACCTGCATGCAGAAAGGTGACATGGTCACTTTATGGTCTGCGCAGGACTGTTTTTTCAGTCCCGCTCCTGCCCACTCACGCAAGATTTCATCCCACTCCCACCCGCTCCTGCAGAAAATCCGAATCATTTGTCCTGCTCCCGCCCGCAACTGAAACGTTTTGTCCCGCACCCGTTCGCACGGTTCCGTGAAGGCGAACTGACATCCAATATCTGATACAGTCTATTCACAGACATGTTATTCTCTGCTGAAATAATACGGCAGTCATGGTCATCAGGCTCACTGTTACTTCACCCAATGTATGCAAATATTTGTCCGGAGGGCACATCATGTTACCAGTTAAACTGAAATACCAAAACTAACCATGTGTTTACCTGCCTGTGCACCCTAAGGCTTGAAAACATGACTTACTGGAAACCTGGCAACCAACGACCGCACATTTATTCTTGTTTACATCCGAAAAGGAGTTTGTTGTGAAATCACATTGAAAGTGCAGAGGTGAAAGTGAGGTTGGTGG